TATAATAGTGGAGATGAAATCAGAATGACTGTTAACTGACATGGACTTGACAATCTATATATTTTTCTTGTGACACATATCTACATGGCGTTCATATCTAGATCATTAGACTAATATAACCAAATATAATAAATAGTCCAACAAAATACATATAAAATGTTTCGGATTTCGTCCAATTATCCGAAATTGCTTAAAAAAGATGGTCCTTTGAACTAAATTTCACGGCACTATGGTTATGATCATAGGCGGTGTTATAATTTTTTATCCAAAATGGTGTTATTCAAAGTTTTGATTTTTCATACTAATTCATAGCAAGTGAAGCAAATAATAATAATAATAATATATAATATTTATTTCACTAGTTAAAAATTACAATGCTCAAAGCCAAAGCAGTTACAGTGTACAATGACTAGGAAAAAGTCACACAATAATCCACAAAGGCAAAAATCACAGCTGGATGGAAATTTGGTACAATATGCCTGGATTAAATTTAATATGTAGTAGAAGATATGACGATACGAAATCAAAGTATGAATACAAGTATAAAAGTAGTTATGGGGAGATATTACATTTTAAAGTTTAATAACTGGCATGTTTGTGAATCATTAATTGATCAGAGGTGAACAGCCGAACACGAGCGTTTGCTTTCATCGAGGTCAGAATAAGCACTGCAAGTATCAAAATGACCTTCGCAATGTTGATTAACATTGATTAACATAACACCTGACTAAAATGAATGTGAGTGAAGTAACCACCCAATGTGACTCACTTGACAGATTATTATAATAATATGAGTAAGTAGTAACAAGGGCTCAGATTTTTGTGTCAGAATTAGAAACGGCAGCTTCAAGATCTAATTTTGGAATGGACGACTTTTGAGTCGGTTGCAGAGTATTAGTAACTTTGCATTTGCGACTGCGAGGCGGAGCTTCTAGTGAAGCCGAGTGAAAGCAAAATTTGCGAGTCAAACAAAGTCACTTTTGATCCGAATGAAACATGCTATTTTTTCTGCAACCGAAACAATACACTCAAATAAATATGCGAACTATTTTACCACCAATCCCGTGCGATATGTATGCAAATAAATTATGACAAATAATCTGTGTGGTGAGAATATTCTACCTGCATTAACAGCAGGTTTATTCAATTTTCAAGGATATTCGAATTGTAGTTTCAATATAAATACAACCACAGAGTGACATATATTTGTGTAGGTACGCCAGGTATAGGAACAAAGACGAGGAACATTTTAGGTTAGTGAGCATATCAACAATAACAATAGCGATTATTTATTCCTCTCCATACTACAGTGTGTTTGACTTGTTAATCAAATAAAGGTAAATAATATCGTTGGTTGGGACAAAAAACCATTGCTAGCCGTGATTGTTCAAAAACAAGTTGTCCATCCCGAGAAAAACGAATGAAATATAGATCAAGCAAGTATTCGAATCCTGAAGGTTTTCCTGATCAAAACAAAAATACTTAACTGAGATGTTTATAATCCCAATACTTAACTATAATAACGTGTATTTATATCTCCAGCATGGGTATGAAATGCCAAATCTGTCGAAATCGGAAACAAATCAGGTATGCGTCCCAACCCAAATAACCAACCGTCACAATGTTGTTTATTCTTGATGAAGTCTAGTACATCCTTTTTATTTCCTAGGAGCTAAAGTTCAACTTCAGCTCCTAGGAACTAAATTTCAACTTCATCTCCTAGGAACTAAATATGTTGCCTAGCAACATACCCTTTTTTGTGTCAGTAATAGAAACGTCAATTCGGGAGCTAATTTTGGTATCAAAATGGACGACTTTTGTGTCGGTTGCAGAAAAACGATTTTACTTGCTTTGATGTATTGTTTTCAAATTCAAAGGAAAAAGTTTATGAATTAGTTGAGAATCAGGATTTATATCACCCATAGTATATTCTTTTTTGAAAGTAAAATTTGAAATTCTATCCCGTTCACTCATAATAAGATTTACTTAGAATGTGAAAAATGTCATAAGGTTTAATTCTCCCTATCTCCCCCTACACAAGAAAAGAGAAATGAGTACGTGTTGCTTGTAGGCTCAACGTGCAAGCGACGTGTGCCTAACATAAAAATCGCCTCGTTATATTTATGTTGTATTTTTTATGTTCCTTAGAATATTCTATTTGAAAATTCTAAAATAAGTATATTTTAACTTTGTCAGAATTTTCATAGAATATTATGTGCTGTCTGGGTAAAAATTGTACTTCACATGTAAACGGCGTATGTTCGATAGGCTGCATTTGTCACGTTACACTCTTCTTAGAAAAACTTAAAAACGCTCCATTTTGGGTAAAGGGTATGATGCATTAACTTGAATAAGAATTAGGTATGGAAGGAATTTGAAAATGTTATAATATATAGGGTGTCTATTGAAAATATCAAAGATCACGCGTCACCTCCGGAAAAACTGGAAGCTTATTCACAATAACAAAAAATTTGAGTTGGGAAGAGGAAAGGGGCCCTTGAAGTTAATAAGCCACTGGACCATAAATTTCTGTGTACGGGCCTGGCATTTTCGATTCTTTTCAGTACCAAGAGATCTCTCTGGTATACACTCACATGCAAAAAAAACGCAACAAGTAAATATTTGGTAAAATTTGAAGTCACATAGTTTTTTATTTTTACTTCAATTTCCAAATTTTTTTAGCAAACTGTGGATAAAATCATTGATTTCAACTGGCACATTCAGTATTTTGTTAAATGCTGGCTCATTATACAGGGTTAACTAGAAGTATGTTGATATACCCTAATTTTAAAACATCCTGTGGAATAATTTCGTGGTCAAATTCTTTCAAAATACCAATTTTTGTCAAGAACCGATCCTTCTCAACATTTTGTTTTTTGGTTCAAGTCTTTAGTTGCTTTAGTAGATTTTTAAGAGGGAAATGAACTCCAAACAACAGAGTTTACCTAATTTTAAAATGTTATTTTTTGACGACATGGATTTGCTCATTGTGCCATAATGTCAGTATGACAGCCCAGTTCATGGGTGTTACTATGAAATGGCAGCAATATATTGTTTAGTTATAATAATAAACAATTAATACAAAATTTATTTATGCAAACTCATTCAATTCAAATCAAAAATCAAACTTCAAAACAAACCAGTTCAACTGTAACTTAAATAATCTGATGAGGAAACGTACTTTTTACTACAAAATCAGCTTAATATTTTGTATTACCACCTCTGGCTCTCACAACTGCCTGCATACGTTGGTTCATACTGTCAATTAGGTTTCGAATAGCATCTTGTGGAATATTTTGCCATTCCTCCTGAATGCCTAAACGAAGTTCATTTATAGTAGCCGGAGCTACTTCACGATCTCTGACTCGCCTACCAAGCATGTCCCACACATGCTCTATGGGGTTGAGATCAGGCGAACATGCTGGCCAGTTCAGTTTGTTAATATACCTACTTCCGCGAGGTATTGTGTGACACAAATTGCTGTATGTGGCCGCGCATTATCCTGCATCAGGATAAAGTCATAGCCGATAAATCCACTAATAGCTACAACGTAATTGCTCAATATCTCTTCAATATATCGGTGAGCCGTTAAAGATCCATCGATGACCACCAACTCAGTGCAGGCCTCCCTGGATATTCCTGCCCAAACCATTACTGAACCTCCTCCATAACTCAGATGGGGACTGAACGTGCATTCTGCGAATCTTTCTCCGTTCCTTCTCCATACTCTTTTCCGTCCATCTGGAGAATGTAAGCAGAATCTGGATTCGTCAGTGAAAAGAAAATTGTTCCATTGCCCCAAGTTCCAATGTAAATGTTCAGTAGCAAATTCCAGTCTAGCTACTCGGTGACGCGGAAGTAATTTGGGTCCCGTTGCTGGTCTGCAAGCTTTCAAACCAAACTCCTTCAATCTTCGGCGAACTGTCCACACACTAACATTTGTACCTCGAACCTCTTGAAGTTGATTTCTAGACTGCACTGATGTTAAATGACGATCCCGCAGAGTATTATTTACATGAAGTAATCTGTCATCAATAGCAGTCGTTTTTCGTTTTCTGCCACTACCTGCCCTCCGCATATTTCTGCCAGTTTGTCTAAAACATTCGATTACTCTTTTGATGGTTGAGCGATGAACATTAAGTATCATTGCAACATATTCATAATTACGTCCATCTTCAACAAGAGCGACAGCTTTTGCGCAATTTTCTGCACTTAAAACCATGGTTCGAGTTCCTTAAGGTCTCTCACTGTCAAACTGACATTAGGACAACAACGAGCAAAGCCACCTCTTCAAAAAATTACATTTTTCAAAGTAAACGTTGATGATAAGTTCATTTCCTTCTTTAAAATCAACTAGTGCACCTAAAGACTTGAACCAAAAAACAAAATGTTGAAAAGGATCGGTTCTTAACACAAATTGATATTTTGAAAGAATTTGACCACGAAATTATTCCACAGGATGTTTTAAAATTAGGGTATATATCAACATACTTCTATAGTTAACCCTGTATAATGACTTATGAGCCAGCATTTAACAAAATACTGAATGTGCCAGTTGAAATTAATAATTTTATCCACAGTTTGCTGAAAAAATTTTAGAAATTGAAGTAAAAATAAAAAAACTACGAGACTTCAAATTTTACCAAATATCTACTTGTTGCGTTTTTTTTGCATGTGAGTGTAGTTTATGCAAAGTTAGTTGGAAAAACACATCACCGCCAGCCGTCGGTCCCTTTGAAAGTTCAAAGAGTGCGGCAGCGCGGCCCGACATTCGTTTGATGATCTGTTCAACTGACTTTGCATAAACTTTACCAACCATCTTATTGTGATAGTTTGGGCTGTTATTGCATATGGGAACGCCACTGGTTCGCAAGGAAGCCAGATTTATGCAGTAGTGCATTAATCGTAGCATAACACTAGAATGTCTTAATAGGAATCACAATTACAGACCAAAATCATTAAAACACCTTCGAAATATTTTTACGATGCTCGATATTATCAGTTACGTTCCGCAAGTCGGTAGAAGAAAACGCGCTGTGGCGGTAAACGAACGGTAGTATGCGGCATCCAAGTTCATGATTCGAAGTTTACACCTGGTGTTTGTTTTCTATAATCAAGTTTTTGTTCATTTGTGGCTAGTAATGCAACACGTTGCTGTATTGTGGATGATTATAAGTTGGCTAGGTAAGCGCATAGGGGATTAATTCAAGAAATATGTTTGAAGAGATTGACTACTATAGGTAACTATTCTAAGGAAAAACTAAACAGCAACATGTGGAATGCACTATACAGGGTGGCATTGAAATAATAAGTGCAAATATTCCAAACCCTGAGGAAGCTCAACTTATATACTATCGAATGGCACCAATAAAAAAATATAGGAATCATGCAAAGTGAAATTTGGGGTTAGACCCATTTTTCCACCCAAAGTTCCACACTGTAGCAATTCTGACGTCACCTCTGTTCAAATTTCCGTTCGGAAGGCAAAATTACGCGGATTTCAATCATTTGAATTGTTTCAAAGTTGCGTAGTTACTTGATTTTTTTCTCGTATTCTGTTCAATTTTCGGGATGAAAATCGTTAATCAGAAGAATTATTACAAAAAATCTGATATGGGAATATTCGTTAGACTGTACCATATCTTCTTCTTCTTCTTCGAAGCACTGGTGGGCGGGTGAACACCCTTACACGAGTGTGTGTATAATTTGCGGACTGGCTATTTCCACCAAAAAAATCGTTGTTTTACTTACATATCTGGATTCAGCTTATTGAACTACACGATAAAAAGTTTTTGAATTTTTTCACTGACCTCCCTGGGGAGCACTTTAATCGTGTGTTTTTTCATAAAATCATGCGGACTGGGTATTTTTGTGAGTCAAATCAATTCAATTTTACTGATAATCGATTTTCCTCATGAAAATACACGATAAAATGTTTTTGAAAATGTTCCCTAGCCCCCCTGCGGAGCACTTTACTCGTGTGTTTTTTCATAAAATCTTGCGGACTGGGTATTTTCGCAAGTCAAATCAATTTTACCAAAAATAGATTTTTCTCATGAGAAAACACGATGATAAGTTTCATGAAATTTTTTTCTAGCCCCCCTAAGGAGCACTTTACTCGTGTGTTTTTTCATAAAATCTTGCGGCATGTTTATATCTTCATATTTCAAATATGCGATATATCGATATATCAATATATCGACATATCGATATATCGATATTTATCGATATGAAAACCACGATTTGTTTACTGGAAATAGCCAATCCGCAGCATTTTTCCCAGTCCGCCAATTATATACACACCCCCCTTAAACGTAGGCCTCATTATTCGGGCCCAATGTGCGTCCAAATGTTCCGACATTCAGCTGGGTATGCCGATACTTGCCAGGGAAGGACTGGATTGAAAAAAATCTAGAGGGCTTTGTGGATCAAAGGGGGCAACATGAAATAATTGTCTAATTGTTTTTACAGAGGCGTAGAAGTGCACCATTTTTTGTATTCCGAATCTCAACTCAGATTTGGCCCAATATTGGAACATTGAATGAACAATTAAAGACAACCCCGATCATTGATATATGATATTATTTTCTTCTCGAATAAACAGGTACATTCTCTCACTATCTGAACAAATACCTACTCAATATATATTCTTCTTCTACATGTATTCCTCTGAATATGTGTTTTTCAAAACGATTCGAAACGAACAGAGTTTCATCGATTTTGAATGGTGTTTTAGAGTATAGGCCATGACAATGCGATAATAATTTTATTTTTTACTGATCAGATTTGCAATCATTCTCATTATTTCCTCTCAAAAATCGTTCAAAAATCGATCAAACTCTGTTAGTCTTGGACACTCATGAATTGAAAAATATGGAAGATGATTATATTGAATGATGTGTTTTTGGAAAGCTTTGAGAGGTCTTTCCGATGGTAAGAAAATATACAGTGTCCCATTAACGATTTAATAGAGACAGTATTGCTATTTCCTAAACAGTAAGAGACAGAAAGTTGATTAGATAGGACAAACTTTGTTTAATTTGAACCTATTCGATATGATGTATGCACTTTCGAAAAATGTCAGCCGTTCCTGAAATATTTTGAAAATACTAGAAATCACTGATTTCGTTCCTGATTATTCTCTTGGTTAATATTAGAGAGAGAATATTGAAATTTTGTGTAAACAGGTAATTAATCATGGATATTGAAGAGGTTGACGCAACTTTTGTTCAATCTGATCAACTTTCTATCTCGCTAACCGTTAAGGACATAGCAATACTGTCCCTATTAAATCGTTGGACCCTCTGTATATAAGATGTTTTACTCAAAACTCTCACAGTTTTCAAAATTCAGATTCGAGAATTGATAAAGATTTCCTGTGAGGCAAAGTTTCCATTTATTTTTGAAATATAAAAAATAAAATAGCTACAGGAAGTGGTACTTTATATAACGTATCACCCAAAACCAAATTGATTGGGTAATTTCCAATTCATCACACAAAAATGGTTCTTGTGGGAAACAAGTTGTGATGAAAGAGGAGAAGTAAAAGCTCACATACTTTATATACCAGGTGGTCCAGAATTCCAAGTAACAAGTGGCCATTTCGAGTAAAAAGTCTGCATTCGAAAATGAAAAAAAAACGTTGCTTTCTGGCCTTCGTAAGGCGCGATAGCGAGCGTTTCTTCTTTCTTTGCTTTCTTGGATTCATATAGTATACCAGGGACAGGGACGCCACTGGGCAAAGGCGCGGAGGGCTGAATTTACAGGGTGGCATTGAAATAAGTGCAAATATTTCCAACACTGAGAAAGCTCGACGTGTACTATCGAAATAGAATGGCACTAATAAAAACAATTTTGGGATAAAAATAAAATTTGAGGATAGAATCCTTTTTTCCACCCAAAGTTCTACACTGTATCCAATCTAACGTCATCTCTGTTGAAATTTTCATGCGGTAGGCACAATCACGCTCTTAGTTCAATCATTTAAGTTTGTTTTAAAGTGGCGTATTTGAATTTTTTCTCGTATTTTGTTCAATTTTTGGGATGAAATTTCTCTTTAATTAGAAGACGCTGAAAAAATCTGATATCATGGAAATATTCTTTAGACTGTATCATATTAGTGTGCTGAACATTTGCACTCATTTCAAAAATACCTTGTATATGTACTCATTTCAAATAAAACATCTCGTATATATGTACTCCAAAGTCACACCACATATCTTTTTGTGAATTTGTAACTCTGCAAACAATGAGACAGTATTTTTTCTGGAGAGTGTATTCATCTGTATTTAAATAGGTATCTATGATATACAGAAAACTGCACGAAAAACGGACAGGACTATAACTTTTTAGTTATTCGAGATAGGGTTTTGAAAATTGGTGGGTAGCAAGTATACCAAATTGCTCATTAATTTATGAAATAATTTTTCTTCTATCACTTTCAGTTTCATCGGAAACGACCCCAACTTTTGATTCTCAAATGGGATTGTATTCCATAATCCGTTAGGGATTATCATAACGAATTCAACGATACTGGGTTTGATAGGGTCATTTCAAACAATTGCAAAGATATTTTTGCGTTCGAAGTTCCCATATGCTCAATGGGTGTGACTTCGCAATATCAAAACTTCTTTCTCTGTCACACCCATTGAGCATATGGAAACTTAGAATGCGAATATTTGCGTAATCGTTTGAAATGACCCTATCAAACCCGGTATCGATGAATTCGTTATGACAAGGGTGTCCCATTTGAAAATCAAAAGTTGGGGTCGTTTACCGTGAAACCGGGAGTGATAGAACACAAATTGTTTAGTCAATTAATGAGCAATTTGGCACACTAGCTGCCCACCAATTTTCAAAACCCTATCTCGAATAATTCAAAAGTTACAGTCCTGGCTGTTTTTTTGTGCAGATCTCTATATAGATTCAACTAGATGCAAAACCTGTGCACTAATTCCTAATATAAAGGAAGTAGGTGATTATCGAGGTGATTATTGAAAAACTGAAACTTTGAAAGAAGAGCATTTTCAAGTATTTGATGGAATCCTGCCTAATAATTCAATCTGCTACGTAAAATATGATTATTATCCTTTATTGTTTCGTTAAGGTTTCTTCCTCAAGTGAATTGAAAAGCTCCTGGAAATCTAATTTTTCCTGCTCATACGGCATGTAGGAATAAATGAAGCAAGAAGACGTTATCAAAATGTGAATTATTTATGAAAATATATAACTCCATGTTGGCAAGATATTCCACGAACATGACAAAGATTTCCTCTCGTGCGATCTAGATGAAGAAAATAATGATCGTGATTTTTCCTGCAGTATTTTTTGGCGCATGAGGAGAGAGTATTATAAAACATCATCGCCATCTTCCAAACTTTTTTATTTTTTTCTCACCTCTTATGAATAATACTAATAATGATGATAATAATATAAAAGTGTATATGATTTATTTAACAACAATATAATGTTCGAATAGCTATATCGACCGGAGTCCTTTGCCAACGTCACCTATACCCACCCTACAGGGTGATTCAAAATTCGATGTAAATATTTCAAGGACATATTTGTTGGGATCAAAGTGAGACTGTTTGTTTATATGAACATGTGTCCTAATATTAACCCCCTCCAAGCTACAGCCACTGGCTGGTGAAGAAAATAGATATTCTGAAATTGTGACTGAAATAACGGACTAAATCTTCTGAAAATTGGCGCGCCCCTGTTCTTTAGATACTTTATTATTTCATTCTTTCTTCAAAAATTATGTAAACCCAGTTGGGAGGAGGGGGGTCCTCACTTTTATTGGCCGAAATGAGGTGCATTTTGGGACACATATTTATATGAAGAAAAAATCTTATTTTGATCCCAACGATACTTCATTAAAATAATAACATCGAATTTTGAATCACCCTAAATAAATTATTAACTTTCCATGACAAATTGATCTGTTGCCTCTTATTGTGAGATTTATCTGCCGACACGATAGCGACAGTGGACGGTACGGGATATGTTCGAATGCCTTTATTATAGCTTCCAAAAATTATCATTCTAACAAGAAGACTTGAATATGGTGTGACAACCCTATTTCGAATCTTTACTGATGAGCGCACTCTTCGAGTGTCTTTTTCGGTGACGTCAATAATATCGTGCCGTGATCGTGCCTATAAAAATATGTGGCTATATCA